CCCGCACAAAGTCAGCCCCCCCGCCCCCCCCCCCCCCCCTGCCCCGGCTTCCCCTCTGCCCCCCCGGCCTTGCCTCAGGGCCGGCGGGAAGACATAGAGGTAAAAATAAACCTCCACGCCACCCTTCTGGCAGCGCAGATTGGGAAATCGGGCACCGTTCGTGCAGCCCGACAGCTTGCGGCATACGGGGAAAGCACAGACAAGCGTTAACGCTCCCGCTGCAGATAGCAAGAAGGGTTTGAGGTTGGCGGAGGGTGACCCCAGCCAGCACGGCTTGCGGGGTTGAACCTTTCTGCTGAGGTGGGTAACCGAGGTCGCAGGCGTTGCTCAAAACAGGAGGATTTTGCAGCAAAAACCAGCCCCCCTGAAGCCTCGCTGCACAGGCCAGGAGCGCTGCTGCCCGACAGCCCCTTTGGAAGCACCGAGACAACGCCGAGGAGGAGAGCGAGTGCGTCAGATGCGTGCCGCAACCTTTCTTCCTTAGAATAGCATTTATTTTTAAAAACCACCACAGACTTTCAAGATTTGTTTTCTTTAGCTGCAGTGGGGTTTCTAAAAATTGTGCTTGCTGCTCAGAGCTGGCAGCTTGAGGGTAGTGGTATATAAAAAGGCAAAAAAAGTGAAGTGGAAAAGCAAAGTATGCTTTTTTTTTTCTTCCCCCTCCCTAATGCAGGGTGGGGAAGCAAGGACACAAATAACGCTGCTCCGAGTCAGGCTCCCTCGTGTGAGCTGGAGAGGAATACATCCCGCAGACCTGCGCCGAAACCTCAGCCTCCCTCCAGCCAAACGTCAATGCTTGGAAATACATTAAAAAAAAAATAAAATTAAAAAGGGCTTTTTGACTCTAAAGGCAATTCGTGGAGCAGCGTGCCACGTGGGCAGGCGGGGGGGGCGTCAGTGCCATCTTCCGTCGGGCGCGCCGCACTGCACAGCCCTGGAAATCGGGCCTGGAAAAGCGGGATTGCATCACCCAGCCCAGCTGAAACCCTTCCCCTTGGAAAAATCCTGAACCAGCGGAGCTCCCACCCCTTCACACCCCAACCAGCTCTGGCCACGGGGAGGTTTCCGCCGCTAGAGCACGCTTGCAACCCTCCATCATTACAGAATATAGTTTATTTATGGAATTTTACAAATAACTTTACAATTCACGTGACATAAGTTATGTTCTTTGTTTCAACGCATATCTCTTACAACACCTGAGTTATTGAAATACTGAGATGGAACTTGAGCTTCGAACCGGACACGGGAAGGGAAACACGGATGAAAATCCATAACAAGCTTGATTTGGGTCGCTTTCCCTCCTCGTCCTCCCGCCTTCCCCATCCCTTCCCCGACGGCGGGTACCAGCCTGCCCGAGCCAGGGACAGGAGCTCTCTCCCACCAGCCCTTCGGCAGAGGGAGGGTCCCCTCTCTGCAAGGAGCCTTGTTTCTCCGAGGGGTTTCAACCCCCCGCACCCCAAATCTCTGGGTTGCGGATTTCTCAAAGTCAACTCAGTTGGCAAGAAACGGGGTTAAAACTCGAAACGAGAAGACGACGGACTCGCGATCCCCACCATCTCCGAAGGGCCCGTACCGGCTCCGAGGAAGCCAAGCGTCAGTCCTTGCCACGTTTCCAGCTCTCGGGGACGCAGAGGACCTCCCCGCCACAGTCTGCAAGCGCCTCACGGTCCCCAGGGGACAGACAACAAGATTTCGCCACTGTGCGCCCCGCTGACCCGCTCCTGCCAGCCACGACTTAGCCCTGGCAGTGCCATGGCTGCCCTCTGCCCCGTGAAAAGCTACCAGCGATCCGATATTTTCCAAATACTTCCTTGAGAGAGAAGAGAGGGCACGTATGCCATTCAAAGGACTCAGTTTTTCCACATCAAGTCAGTCAGATGGGGCTGCAGCTCTCTCAAGCAGGGAAAGGGAATTTCCAATACCACTTTCCTCCTGACTACTGAAAAATAGCAGCAACCTAAAGCAAGGGTAGAGACCGCGAGGTGCTGCAGAGGTGGCTGCGTGCCCGAGCCAGGACAGACCACGCTGCTTCGAGGTGGCTCTGTCCCACGGACCAGCCACAGAGGGAGGAGTGACTTACGATGACCGTCCACACGAACAAGAGACACTGCACAGGATAGAGCAGAGCCCGTCTCTCCTTGAAGGCATCACCCACGGCAGCAAACAGCCCGAGGACCGTGTGGTACCTCCGGGTTGAAGGGTCCTCCCAAGAAGGCTCCCTGCTCCTCGACATGCTGATATTTAACCTTCTGGGTGCGCGACAAAGCCAACAGCCTCCTGGGTACCAAGGGGACAAAATCAATGCCTGGCCTAGCCAAAGCCACCGAGAGCAGCGATGCCGATCTGTGAGGATACCGGCAGTGTCACATCTCAACAGGCAGAGACCTCGGGACTCAGGAACAACTGTTAGGAGCCTAAGAGGAACATCATCCAGCTGGCACCTAAGGCAAATTAGGAACGACAGTGAGGTACCGGCAGCCAGCGATCAAACCAGGGTACGATGCTACTGGATGGTGCTGAGCCTGCCCCAGGCTATGCCAAGGGCTGAGGTGCCTTGCCTCTCTTGCGAGGGGCAGGAAAAATACCCAGCAGGCCCTCCGCTTTGCTTCCCAACAGGGGTGGAAGGGAGCAGCACCGAGCTGAGGTGTCAGGATGGCCGTCACCCCGTCACACACGCACCTCACGGCCACCTGCACAGGCAGGGCGTGAAGAAGGACGCTCAGTGACAAGCCATCCCCTGCACGTACACCAGAGCGCTTCTCAAAGCCATCCGCGCCACTCCTTCAGCCCGATCCAGCCCCACACCCACTAGGGTAAGCTGCCTACATCGGCTCTCACCACAAACTCGCCACTCCTGGGTGCAGGATAAGGTTTGGGGGGAGAAGGGGGTGCAAGGGAACCTCAAGCAACACAGGTGGGGTGGGCAACATTATCAATATGATAATAAGTCAATTCACCTAGTGAATCTGGGGAAAGCCAGCCCAGAAGCAGAGCTGTGAAGTGCCTGTAACACCCTTCTCTGGCTACTCCCTAAGGCTGGAAACACACAACCTAAAGAGGTTCACAGTCTATTTTTTTTTTTTTAAAACACCCCCCCACCCCACCCCGAACCTCAGCAACTCAGCAGCATCAGTGTTTAAAAACCAGTGTCCGTTCCCAGGTGTTGGCATGAGCTTGGTCACAGTGTAAGGACTGATCCCCCAGCTGGGGAGCCTGTGGCCAGGCAGGGGCTCGCCGTGCCGGCTCCGCCCTTGCCCCACGCTGCTCTTGTGCCCTTCTGGCCAGCATTGCTGCACGATTGCCCTCGTGGAAGGAGAAGGGGTTTTTTTCCCCCTCCATACAGCAGCAGGGACCTAAGGGAGGTAAGAGCATCCTGCTAGCCTTCTCCCAGCTGCTGCCCCATGCAGCCCGCGTCCGTCAGTCCGACCCACATGGGGTGTGGTTTGGTGTCCTCTGCTCTGAGCACTGATGCCCAGAATGTGCTTTAAAAAAAAACCAAAAAAACCCTCTTCACCCTGGTCTTCCCAGGGCATCGTCCAGGCTGCCAAGGCAGAACGGGAGCAAAACCAGACATGGCTCCAGAGACGCGTTTCTGAAGACAGCAAGGATGATGCTCAAATGATGAGCCGTGCTCCTCGAGCCTCCTCTTCTTTGGCAGCCCTCTGTGCTTGGAGAGCACAGCTCCGAGGACCGGCTGGTAGGTAACGCTCTCAGAAGAAGGAGGGTCTGTCCCAGTCTGTGCGCTCCCAAAGCGGAATACCACCTCCCCACGCAGGAGAGAAACACCAGCTCCTTGCGTGACGCTGGCGAACGCGGCGGGTCCCCGTTCCCCTTCGTCGCGGTGCTACTTTTCACCCCCTGCGCATCCATTCCCCGGCAGGTGAGCAGGCGGAGGCAGCTCGCGTCCAGCACTAGCCCTGTACCCCACGGCCCCCTGTCACGCACCCCCTGAAAAGGGGTCAGGAGAGCGTCACGTCCCATCGCACCGCTCTGAGCACAAGGAAGGGAGCAACACGGCTAAAGGAGCTCCTGTCTCCCAACTCCATCCTTCCCAGGAGACGAGAGGAGAGAAGGGATATGACACTGGAAAGAGATCCTCCGGTCAGTTCTGTCCTACGGCAAAGGGGATTAAGCTCCCCGTAGCCTTAAACCAAAATAAAATCAAGTCTGTGGAATAGCTTTAAAAGCAATGCCTCTTCTTCTGTAGTGTGGTGTCAGTGCCTGCACAGGTACCGTCGTATGTTTGCAGCAGGAAAAGGAAAAAAAAAAAAAAAAAAGAAATACCCCTTCCCCCCCCAAAATAAACAAAACAAAAAAAAAAAAAGAGGAAAAACTGGAACAGGGCTGTGAGACGGGCTGGTCCTACCCTATCTGGATCTGGCCGGAGTACATGGTGAGCAGCACCATGATGGTGAACCCCGTCAGCAGCCCCGCGTTCTGGATGGCGAAGGTGATCAGCGTGCTGCCATTCTGCTCGTCCTCCCGGCTGACCTCGTTCATTTCGGGGAACTGGGTGGGGGGAAAGAGAGAGCGATGGCAGGGCTCAGCGACAGGAGCGGCTCCGTCCTTCCCCACTGCTTCCCACCCATCCCGGCAAATATTCACCGCCCGGCCTGGGGCTCTCGGCGGCGTCACCGTGCCACCAGCCCAGGAGGCAAAGCAAAGCGGAGACGAACGCCGGTCGCTACAGACAGCATCTGCGTGGGCCAGGGGGAGAGAGCAAACGTCCCCCTGTGCTCCCCGTGCCTGCCTTGCCTCCAGCCTGAGGGCAAGCCAGAGCTCTTCTGAGCCAGGAGAAAAAAAAAAGGAAAAAAAAGGAAAAAAATACCCGGCAAGGTCCCGACCGCGCGCCCGGCAGCCCCCCGGGCTCGTCATTTACCATGTCAGCCAGCGCGATGTACAGAAACATCCCTCCGGCCAGAGCGAAGATCCAGTTGGCAGAGAAGTGGCTGCCGGCCACGATGCCGAAGGCCAAGCCCACGTAGCAGCAGCAGGCAGAGATGAAGTTGAAGAAGAGCGCCTGTCACTGGGCGAGCAGCAGCAGCATCAGGACAGCACTGAGGTGCTCGTGTCCAGCGCCTGCTTTTGCAGGAGGGCAAGCGTGAGGAGCCCGCTGGTGCTGAGCGCCGACCGCAGCAGCTCCCTGCCAGCTCCCAGCCCTGCCCGTGCATAAATTCGGACATTCAAACCCAAACCGCTGCCTGCCTCCCCCCTCCCAAACCAACGAGGTGGTGTTTTTTTTTTTCCTTCAGATGTCTCCAGCTAAATTTATATCTCAGACATCATATTACCTCGTTATTTTTAGAGCTGTGATTACTCAGTGTAGTTTACAGCCTTGCCTTCCCCCCCCATCATTACTTTGTTTATTCCACCCCGCAGCTGCCTTTCTCTCGAGAAACAACGGGTAGGATCAGGGAAGCAGCAGGGTTGGCCTTAACGAGGGGCAGATCCGAGAACCCTCGCAGCACCTTTCCCCCAGGACTCACGTACCCAGCTCGTGCGGGAACTCCTCGCAGAGGATGGCCACCGAGGTGCTGATCCCTTGGAAGACGGAGACGGTGAAGGAGGCCCCGATAGCCAACCCGTCGATGAAGTTGTGGAGGCCGTCGCTGAGGGTGATCATCCACGCCAGCGTGCCGATGTCGGAGTACCGCACCTCCTTCAGCCAGTAACACGCACTCTGGGAGGCCTGCAGGTCCTGCCACAGCACCCCGATGGCAGGGGCTCAGCATCCAGCCGGTCTCGGGGGGTCACTGCTCCCTCCACCGGCCAGGGGAACCCACCCACGCATTAAATCCCCACGAGGCTTGACCCGAGCCGGTTGCTCTCCACCACCCACAGAGGATTTTGTCAGGGAGGTGCAATGGGCTTCAAAACCGTTCTTTTTCATTGACAGGCAGGTTTTTTTTCACGTTTCATTGACAGGCAGGTTTTTTTCCACGTGCCCACCCGCAACCCCACGGGAGGAGGCACTAACCTGGACAGAGAGGGAGCCCATCACAACCTTCTCATCCCCAGAGGGGGTCTTGCACTCCAGCTCGCTGGTTATGTGTGGGATCATGTGGTCCAGGTCCCCGTTCTGCAGCTTCTCGGTGACCCCATCCTCCTGGTCCTTCTTGGACGGCAAAGCCTCGGGGCCGTAGTGGCTGTGCCCGTGGTGATGCTGCAGGACAGGGAGGATTCACGGGTGTCAGCCATTTCTGCCTTTTCCCACTCAAGCAGCACTCCGAGCAGCCCCTGCTCAGTCTCACCTGGTCCTTCTGCTTCAGGAGCATCTTCAGGACCTTCTCTGTGAAGAAGAAGAGGTAGAAGCCCCCGAACACCACGGCGGATTTGGAAACGTAATAAGCTTCTTGAGGGTTGAATCCAAACGCCTGAAGGCAAAGGGGACAAGTGACAGGACTGAGGAACAGTCTCCAGCAACGTCCTGCATCTGCCTTTGCCCCTGGCACCTCTGGGGCAACGCTGCTGATTTCTGACCTCTCTCTAAGCAGCAGCTGCTTTGGGGGCAAGCTCAGAAAACGCCTTCATGCACCTTGAAACTCCCTCGCTCCCCCAGACAAGCCAGCTGTGCCCCAAGGCATTGGATCCACCACTCTGCACTGGGGCAGGGATGCTAAAAGCTAGAAAGGGCAATAAAAGAGCGCTTCTCTGCTTGAAGCAGACTGGAGGTCTCCCTGGAGTGACCCCCTTCCAAAGAGGGGCGAAACGCCAGCTCCGACTGCGGTCCCAAGGGGCTTGCAGCCTCCGTACCTTGCTCTCGGCTCCCCTCCAATGCCGCCTTCCCCTTCTCCAGCCAGCGAGCGCCCAGAGAGAGAAAAACAGCCCCCAAAGAGAGAGAAAAGGACAGACCCGGCGGCCCTGACCCTACCTCGGGAATGAGCTGGAAGAGGGCGTTGGAGTAGAGAGTTCCAATCGCCAGAGCTATGAAGTAGAGGAGCAGCCGCTTGTAAAAGGTCTTCTTCATGAAGGGCACCACGCTGGCTCCCACCAGCGAGCAGAGGGAGATGACGGTCACGCAGAGGAAACCGTAACCCCAGACTGCGGCGTGCGTGCCAAACCCACCCCGGGGAATCGGACGAGGGGAGGTTGTCGGAGGGAAAGGAGATCAACGTGGGGAAGGGGAAGGAGGGGAAGGAATCCACGCCGAAAGGAAAGAGAGAGGAGGGAGGGAGAGGGGGAGAGAGAAGAGGACATTCATTAGTGATTGCTTGTTCATCTGGCATTGGTTCAAGAGGGGCAAACCTGGTGCTGAGTGGCTCTGGAAACAGCGCTTTGGGAAGGGTCGGAGGGACACCCCGCTGCGGAGCTCACGTCACACGACTGGGAGAGGAGCGCTCCCTCGGAGCGAGCTGCTCTCTTTTAGCGCTGAGACGGAGCTGAGTTTTGGCAGCCAGGCTGTTTCAGAGCCAGCACCCCGGCTCTGCTCCCCGAGCCCCCGTGGGACATCGGGTGGCCGTTCCAGGGCCACAGAGCGCCGAGGTCCCCCGAGCATCTTCGTACGCTCCATCCTCGTCCTGCAGCCCGGAGAGATGCTGCTGGTCCCCGCAAGCCGGCTGGGACCAGGATGCTCCGACTGATAGCGAGGGTGGAGCGTACGTAAGACATTTCAGTTCCTGGCAGATCAAGAAATAAGAGGCGCTTGGTTTTTATGTTCGGCAAATAAAAGTCACAGTTCTGGAGTTGAAAAGAAGCCTTGGAAAAAAAAAAACATTCCCACCCAACACGGATGAGGCGTTCGCTGCCCGAGAGCAAAGCAGGCAACGCCGGAGGGGCAAAACCCAGCGGCAGCAACGGGTGCTCTGCGCAGAGGGAAGGCTGCACCTTAAATGCAGAGTTTTAAGGCTGGATGTGCAGGAGCTCGGATCCAGCTTGTCTCCTCCCCAGGAGATGGGGAAGGGCTGTGTGAAGTTGCCTGGACCAGGAAGCCGAGGAAGCACGCGTGTTTTGAAGGTGTCCAGTCCAAGAGTGTGTGGGTGTATTTATTCAACTCCAGAACTGTGCAATTACAACACAATTAATTTGCGATGTATCTGTCGGTTCCATCAGAGCACCAGGAAACCTCACGTAAGCCTAAACCCTTGTGGGAACATCGGTCTTGTAAATCAGGGGAGGAAAAAAGGCAATTAATACATTTGTAAAAGTGGGCTGACTCGAGAGAAAGCTGGTGCTTCTCCGGGCTGTTCCCCGTGCTTTTACACTGGTATTTCCTCCGCCTCGCAGGTCTTTCCATCCGGCTCACACCACAAGCGCTGCCGCATCTCAGCGGCCTCAGAGCCGGGCAGCTCCGCACGAAGCGGGGCTGAACACATCCCTCCAAAGGATAAACTCCCTTGCAAAGCAGACACAGCCCACGGAGCAGGAGCAAACGGCTTCTCCCAGCACCTTCCCGGACCTCAGACCCGGCCAGCAGCTTGGTAAGGACCGGCAGGGCTGGAGGGCACGGCCTCCCCACGCTGCCTGCACACTCTCGGGGGTTTCCTGGTGCTCGGAGGGGAGAGTAAAGCCCTGCAGAGCCCCTGAGACAAGCCCTCAGCCTCGGGTGACGGAGGGATCGGTTCGATTCAGCAGGGTGGAGGCAGAGAGGGCACCCGGAGAGCTGCCCTCGGAGACGGGAGAGAGGCAGGGACTTTCTACCGCACCTCTGGGATGAGCTGGAAGAGTGCATTAGAGAGCAGCGTGCCGATGGAGAGTGCGATGAAAAACGTGAGGACCCGGCTGAAAAAGGCCTTCTCGGTACACGGTACGATGAAGACTCCGAGCAGGGAGGCCACGTTAATCATTGACACACTGAGAAAACCAAAGCCCCACACTGCGGAACGAGAAGAAATGAGGGCCAGACATTACCGAGGCTCTCGGTGCGGGGAGATGGGGAGGACCCCGAGACCCCGGATCCGGGCAGGAGGAAAAGGCTCGCTCCGGGTCTACGCCCCCACGCCGGGGCCGGCCTCGCCACACCGGAGCGTCTCTCCTTTTGCTCCGGACGCTTCAACTGCGACACAAACCATCGTTTTTATTGCAGGACAGGTGGAAACGAAGCCACCAGGTTACTTGGAAGAGGCTTTCCTGAGCCATCACCGGCCTCGCGGTGTGGCAGAAGCCAATGCCGGGCTCAGGGCAGCTGATCCAAGACCTTGGGCATCATCAGGACCTGGATGCACGGAAGCTCATTTAGCATCCGCTGGTGGCTGGAGGCCCTAAATGTGCCAAGCCACCCACTGCCACCCACGGGGACTTGCAGCAAGGTCCCCATCATCCAGCTATCCCGCAGAGCCATGCTGCAGGCACAGCCCTGCGGCCTGTGCGATCGGGGGCAAAAACCACGCTGTGAGCCCACAGCACAAACCACACCGAGGAAAACCCGTCGGGACTCCCAGCTGCTGTAGGCAAGCTGCCTCCTCTTGTCTCTGCCAGACTCTGCCTGTGCCCCAGAGCCGGGAATGGGAATTGGCTGTCCCGCAGGTCCCGGGATGCCTCACGTCCCCAAGCTCCATGCCGGGCAGCGTTCGTGCCCTCCAGTTCCCCGCTTACCTTCGGCCGAGCTGGGTCTGCTCTCCTCCGTCTGCTCATTTTCCTCATTTTCCAGCTTCTCAGAGGCACACGCCCCAGACTCCAGCTGCTGCAGGATGGTGGGGCAAAACTCCTTGAACTCGCTGTGCCCCACGGCGGAGCCCTCGCTCAGGTTGTGGATGGCAAAAAGCTCGATGGAGCTGAAGCACTGGGGAAGGGAAGAGACAGGCACATGCCTTGAGACTCCCGCAGCTCTGCGAAGAGGCTTTGGATGTCTGCAGAGCCCCTGCCTTACCCGGGAGAGGTTCACCCGCTGCTGTGGTGGCTGGGAGAGATTTGGGCTTTCCACCCCCCCCTCCCGACCGGTCCGGAGCGGCCTGGGGAAAAGCAGGGCCTTGAGCTGCTTCAGGCTGAGGGTTTCGCTCTCACCGTACCGCTGGAGGAGATCCTGCAGGAAGGAGGCTGCAGAGAGCGCCGGTCCCACGGCATCCCTGCCTGCCCAGACCCGCGGGCAGGGGAGAAGGCAGAGCAGCACAAGCAGGCAGCAGCTCCGGGGGCCCGTGCTGGGGATCATGGTGTCTCAGGGATGCTGGAAGAGAAGCCATGCACTGCCGTTAGCTTTAGCATCCCCAGCGGCTCCGACCACCGCCCTTCCACCCCACAGCTCCATCAGGAGATGGCAGATTTCTTCCCCAGGGAGCCCCAGGCTGGGGGGGGGACAGAGCTTTGCGCAGCACTGAGAGCACCCAGATCCCGAGGAGGGACTCAGCGTCTTTTCACAAGCGATGAACCAAACCCCCGGCACCACCACCACCTCCCCCAAACACCCCGCTCCCCTAGCTCACCGCAGCTGCGTGCCGGCTGCCGGGACACGGTTCCTGGGGGCTCTCCAGCTCCGCAGCACCTTGGGATCCCTGGGGAAGAGCAGCCAGCGGTCGGAAAGCAGGCAGCAGCGTGCAGACAGGGCTGCAACAGGGATCCTGCACACGTGCCTCCACCAGCGGTGCGGCCAGCAGACCCCACCGCATTTAATATCAACGCCGGCTGCCGAATTCAGCTCTCCGTGGGGCGAGAAGTCAGGCACCGGCCCCCGGCCACGCTAACGCCACGTCGGGTCCCCCTCGTGCCCGCGGGGCCGGGACACGCACCCCTCGGGGACCTCTGCCCACCTGCGCCAGCGTTCAGAGCACACGGGAGCCCAGGGGCCAGAAGCAGCATTTTCATTAGGTTATATTTTAACTACGATAATTACAACGAACCAGGTCCTTCCCAGCCGCAACTGTAGATGCCTTTATAGTATTTGCCTAGAATCAATCCTTGCCCTTTCCGCTCCTTTCATATAAGCCGGGAATCAATAAAAGCGGGGCGGCAGAGACCGAGGGGAGCCAGGGTTCACCCGCCAGCAGGCACTGGGTGCAAAGGAAGGGGCTCGGAGAGCGGGTGGGAGGCCAGGCACGACCCACACGTCCACCTTGGGCAGCGCCCAAGAGGCTGGAGCGGGGCCCAGGCTGTCTTCGTGGAAAACCTTCACCGAAACGTGGACGGCAAATTTAGGATTCACAAGGACAAGCAGAAAATAATTTGCTACCCGCCGCCTCCGTACGCCCAGCAGCCATCCCGTTCCCGGCCCGGGGCTCCGCTCCCCTCCTGGGGGCTTGGGTGCACGCTGCCTTGTGGTTTCCCCTTCCCGGGGGCTCCTCGGGGGAACCGGTTTGCAGCGCCGGGACGGTTCCTGCACTGCTGTGCACGGGGCCGCATCCAGCCCAGCTCTGCCCTGGCACGGGACCCGCCGCCCCGGCCAAGCCGCGCTCCCGCCGGCCGCTCCGGCACCCCGCCACGCTCGTCCCGTGCTGACGGCTTGCAGATTTCGGTCTCCTCCAAAAACAAGCCCAAGACATTTTTGAAGCCTGGCCAACCAATTGTTCTGAAAATAACCTGGGGCTGGGTTTGGTGCTGCCCGGGGCGGCGAGGCCAAGGCAGGACCCCGTCCCCCTCCGAAGGCGCCCGCATTCCCGCAGGTTTTACAAGCTTACCACCACTTTGCCAGCTTTGTTCGGAGGTTTTAGCCTCCTCCTGCCAGGGCTAAGCTCCGATGCTTTGGCTTAACCCCTCTCCTCCCAAAATGAGGGAGCGAGCTCATCTGGCGAGGTGCTGGTGATGGTAACACCCTGCTCGGCGGGGCTACGTGAGAGCTGGACACCTTCCTCTGCCTCCCCCCTACCCAAATCCACCCTTCCAGACGGGTCCTCCCTGGGCAATGCCCCATCGCAGCCCCAGGAGCAGCAACCAGCCCAGGTGGCCACGTGGGACATCCTGGTGGCCCGTGACTCCTACAAGGTACACAGGCACTGGCACACAGCCCACGGTGGCAAAGGCCTGTCCCGGCAGCACCGCATCCCGGGACGGGGGGACGTTGGCTGCCTTTCCCTCTCCGTGCCAGCCCAGTGCTCCGCGCGTCCCTTGTCCTGCCGGGAGCCATCCCATCCGGAGCACGCCGATTATCGCCGGCTGGTGCCAAGGCAAGCAGCCCTTTCCAGTGCCAAAATCGCCCATGGGGTTTCTCCCAAAACCGGGCTGAACCGGGCACACCCAGGGTGGAAAACCGGACCTCAACTTTTACCCAGCTGCCAAACAAAAGGCAGGAAGGGGTTTGCAGGCAGAGCTGGGCAGGGATTTGAATTGCACAGGCTCGCTGCCGTTTTAGGGCAGAAACAAGGTGGAGGGAAGGCCTCTCGGGAAGAGAAGGGCTGAAGGAGGAACGGCCCGGGGGTCTCCAACCCCCCGAACACCGTGGGGAGCCCGGGGCAAGGCAGGAGGGTGCCAACCACATCCAAACCCCCCCATCCCAGGGACAAAACGGAGCTGCAGCAAACACCCCAGGGGGACAACCCCCCGCTATGGGTCCCTCCATCACCGCCACCGGCTGAGCGGGACCCCCTCAAAGCCCCCCGGCCTCCCGCCCGCTACCTTCAAGGGCGTCCTCTCGCCGGCCACGGGCCCGTGGAGCCGCGGTGCCGCGCACGGCCCGGTGCCTGACCTACTTTATCGCTCGCTGCTGCGCTGGGACGGGGCGGAGGGAACGAACCTCTGCCACGGGGAGGGGATGCCCAGGAGCCGCCTGCTCCGGGCGTCCCATGGGATGTGCCTGGGAGCGATGCCCGGCAGTAATGGCAGGCCAAAGGAGCCGCCGGGGCCAGGCAAAGACCCTTTTCTTTCCCCTGTCCCTTGGGTTCACTTCCCAGAAGTCATCGATCCCGCTGGCAAACCACCCCCCCGCTCTGAGCAGGAAGGTGACGCCGAGAACAAGAAACGCTGGCAAAGCCGAGCACGACCCCAGCGACGTCAGCCCCGTGCCAGATGCTTCCCGAAATCCCGCACGGGGACGGCTTGCTGTCGCAAACCCGGGGGGGGGGGGGGGGGCCCCGAAACCCTGCCGGTGCGCACCCCCTCCTGCTGCCAGGGCGGTTTGCACCCAGCGATCTCCACCTCTTTCCGGAGCAAAAGCCGCTCCACGTGTCCGGCAGCGAAGGCAGGACCGCAGGGAGGGTTTCCATACTCTGGGGTGTCCAGCAGCGAAGGCAGGACCTGCCTGCTGGCAGGGAGGGCTTCCATGCCCCCGGACACCCCCGTGCCCTGGAGGGACGGCAGCCTGCCAGGCTCACGGCCTGACCACGGCCTCCCTTCGCTCCCCCCGTCAGCTTCTTGGCCCTTAATTTCCCCCAAAACCCTGCCCGCAGGCCCTGGTGCAGGCAGGCAGGCAGCAAAATGGGCTACCCTGGCTATCGCACCCTACACCAGCTCCCCAGTCCTGCCCAGTCCCTATGCTGGACCTGCCCGCTGCCACCCCCTGCCCCATCCCAAGGCCGGTCCCCAGCC